AGAAGCTTTTTAATAAGATGAGATCCCAGTTGTTGATTCTTTGTGCTAGTTCCCATGCTACTGAGGTTTTGTTCATGAAGTCTTTTCCTATGCCAATGTCTTCAACAGTTCTACTGAACTTATCTTCCAGCAATCCCAGAATATGTTTTATGGGAGGTTTTTGTTTCATTGGTTGGTTGATTGGATAGTTGGTTTGATTTTTGGTTTTGGGGGAATGTTTGGTTTGGTTGGGTCTGGTCTGGTCTGGTTTCTTTGAGTTTGATTTGGTGGTGACTAAGTTGAAAGATTGAACCACTAAGAAACATCTACAACCCCTTTTTAAAATATTTATTTATTTATTTATTTTGAGACAAGATCTTGCTAAATGGTCCAGGTAGGACCTGAATTTGTGATCCTACTTCTTCAGCCTCCCAATGTGCTGGGATTATAGGATTATGCCTTAATTGATATTTCTAATCAGCAAGCCAAATCACTTGTCAGCCTGGGCTTCCCTACCTTGTTGCCTTGGTTTACAAGTGCCTTTTTCTTGGGTTAGAATGCATAATCCCAATGCTGTAGACAAGTGAGTTCCAACAATAGAGATCTGCCACACTCTATGCCAGATTCAAGCCTATTTATTACAGCCAGCGGCCAAGGGGGCCTAGCACCCAGAAAGGTTCCTTGGCAATGGGAAGCAGTTTGATTTCTCCTTTTAAATCATGCTTTCAGCTGGGGAGAGCTCAGGGGAGAGCAAGCGGAATCTTACAGAAGTAGAATCATGCCAGGTTAGAGGGGGGTACAGGAAGTTTCACACACATTAGGTGAGCTACAAACATCCTGAAATTGTAGAAAGTTTACTGCCAAGCAGGATGTGGGAGTTTTGGGTGCTTTGTTCATGTACAAGCACTTTGTTCAAGCACAGGTACAAAATGGCATTGAGCCACAAGATGGCGTCTGGTTGGCTATCACATTCCCAACTCCTCTAAACATGATGTCAAAGCATTGACTCAATGAGACTCTCTTGATTGGGCAGGGTGCTATACAAGGGATTGTAGTAGGGATCTCATATACATTAGTTTAACAAAGATTACATGCTGTTTTACAAAGTTGATTATCCAATTAAGAATACAAGGGCCAATCAAGAGCCTGAGAAAAATCAGGATGAGGGGACCAGCCAATCCAGTGATAAGGGTAGTTACCCATGGGCTTCAATTGAACAGGTTATGATAACATGAGTTTTTACTTTCCTTCTCCTATCTTGATTTCCTTTCTATCTAGATTTTTCTTGACCTTCTGAAGGGTATCATGGATTACACTGGACTTGTTGGCATAGGAACAACATGCTTCTCCTAGAGCAGTACATAATCCTCTTTGTAACAAGAGTATTAGATCAAGCTCCCTTCAATTCTGGAGGATCATCTCAGCTAGTGTCTCTACTTGGGAGTGGAGAGTCTCAATGGGATATTGCAGGCTTCCTAGGTCAGTGTCTACCTGTTCTGCCAAAGCTGAGAGTCCAAGTTCTTCTCTAGTAAATGCAGCAGTTCCAAGTGCTGCTGAGTGAGCTACTCCCAATCCCAACAAAATTGGATTGACTATAGGGGCTGCTTGCTTTTGTCTGTATGAAATCCCATCCCTGCAGTCCTCTGTACACATAAACTTGAGGAAGAACTCTCACCAGGATGCACAAGACTTCAAGTCTAGCATCTTGCTCAGGAATTCTAACTCAACTAGTGAGTCCCGAGGTACAAGCTAGCCACATGCCATTAGGGGCAAAATTAGCCTACAAAGTCTCCAGAGTCACAGTTTGGCTACACACAGCCAAGGGGAGTTATTCATATCATAAGAAGTTGCCAGACAGGTTGCATTTCCATAAACTTCACAAATTCTTAAGGGGGGCTTTGCAGAAGTGCATGTTAAGGCAGTACTTAAGGCTTTGATTGAGCCCAAGACTCCCACATCCACATAATAAGGAGGCTTTGCTTTTAGACACAGCCAACAGTTCTGAGTCAGGTGTGGTTGAGTCAGGTTTAACATAGTGTGGATGGCTCCCGACATGGGGAAAGGGTAGGGAGGCAGTATGCATGGGGGGGTCTGCTCTATTGATAGCTAAGAGTGGATGCTTTGAAGGAGGGACAACAGGGTGAGGTTCAAGTAAGGGGTCTTTTACCTTTATTAAGGGTCCTATTGGCTGTCTTGGTGCTTGGCTTGGTAACTGGGTTTGAAAGGTAATGATTTCCCCTAGGTCAGGAATTAGTCCTCCGGGCAGCCAGAAGCAGAAGCCCCAATTCCATCCTGTGGCCCATTTAGAATCCTGGGGCCTTTGTATCAGAATTGTGACTCGGCGCCCATGTTTCCAAACTATGCTATCATTAGCGACATTTGGTCCCCCGCTATAGGATGCAATTTTTAAACAGCCCCAGTTAGGGTAGTAGAAATCAGTTGGGGACCCACAACCCTTCTGTCCAAATGGATTGAACCCTGGACACACATAAAAGTCACAGCTTCCCAGGTTTATGAGCTGATAGTGGTAGCTTCCCCAATCTCTTCTGATGAATTTACGGAGATCAACCTCAACCTGAGAACACATTCATGATCAGACTAGCCTTAGCTTTAAAGGATCAGGTCCCAGCTCAGCAGTCCACTGTTTTGCCTGCTTGACACGAGAATGTTGAACCCACATCTAGCTTCCGTCAACCTTGAGAGCCGAGGGCTTCATGAGGACAAGTGTGTAGGGTCCCTTACAGGCTGGAGTCAGTCCTTCACTCTGAAAGATCTTGATAAAGATAGTATCCCCAGGCAGGAATGGATGGCATGGTGTGGAGCTAGGCAGGGGCTGAGTAGCTTGTACCTGGGAGTGAACAGTTTTCTGTACCTGTTGGAGAGACTGGAGATACTTTAAGATGGACTGGTTAGAAAATTCTTCTAGTACCTCGCTTTTAACCTTGGGGATCAGGGGGTGGGGTCTTCCAAACATAATTTCATAAGGGGTAAAACCTGCTTTGTAAGGGGTGCATCTAACTCTAAGGACAGCCAAAGGCAGCAGGCTGACCCACCCTTCACCAGTTTCCAACATCAATTTAGTCAGAGTAGATTTTAGGGTCTGATTCATCCACTCCACTTGCCCCGAGCTTTGTGATCAGTAGGCACAGTCTCCAATTTATACCCAGTGCCCTACTGACTAACTGAGTTATAGAAACTACAAATGCAGGGGCTTTGATCCAATGGACACTGGAAGTCCAAATCTGGGAATTAATTCCTGAAGAAGTTTCTTTGCCACCACAGTGGTAGTCTACCGCTGAGTAGCATAGACCTCTGGCCATCCTGAGAAGGTATCTATGAAAACCAGGAGGTAGTGATAGCCACTTGCTGTTGGTTTTATCTCTGTGAAATCCACTTCCCAATGTTCTCCAGGATTACTACCCCAGAATCTGACCCCAAGAGGTGCAGATGGGCCCTGGCAGGGATTTACTTGTACACAGGTTGGGCACCTAAGAGAGGCCTGATGGGCCAGCTCTTGTAGCTTTGTAAAGCAGTATCTTGGAGCCCCCCAGGTGCATGGCAAATGCAGCTTCTGGATGAGCTGTGGTCCTAATGCCTGGGGGAGGTAGATCTGACCATCTAGACATTTCCACCAGCCTTGGGGATCTTTTTTGCTTGCAGCTGGCTTGCTTCTTTATCTTCCTCTTCATTGTAAGTAGGGCTAGTCTGGAGCAAATGGGGAAGAGGACTCATAGTACGCAGGATGACTAAGTGTTCAGCTGCCTCTCTGGCTGCACAGTCTGCAAGTTGATTTCCCTTAGCCTCAGGTGTCTTGTCCTTTTGGTGACCCTGAACATGAATGACAGCCACCTTCTTGGGAAGCCATACCACCTCTAGGAGAGACAATATCTCTTCTTTGTTTTTGACGGTCTTTCCTGCAGCTGTCAGAAGGCCTCTCTCCTTGTAAATGCTTTCATGCACATGTAGAGTAGCAAAGGCTTACCTACTGTCAGTACACACATTTATCTTCTTTTCCTTTCCCCATCTCAAGGCCTGGGCCAAGGCAATCAGTTCTACCTTTTGGACTGAGGTCCCCTAGGGCAGAGGCTGGCCCCAAATGACTTGATCAACAGTAATTTCTGCAGCTCCCGCCCTCTGCACCCCGCTTACCACCATGCTGCTTCCATCTGTGAAGAGGATGGCATCTGCCTTAATGGAGAGGATGTCTGTTCAGTCCAATTGGCCCCCTGGGTCTTGTCCAGCACCTCCTCACAGTCATGAATTGGCATGTGTGGATCATCATCTGGCATCAGTGTAACTGGATTGAGAACCTGTCTTACTGAGAAGACTAGGCGAGGCTGGTCAAGCAAGAGGTTTTGATACTGAGTAAGGCAGGCATTTGACATCCATTTGTTAGTAGCCCCCCTGAGCAGAGTCTCTACTGACTGAGAGGCAGTTAGGACTATGTCCTGTCCAAGTGTCAATTTATCAGTCTCTTTGACCAATAAAGATGTGGCAGCTACCACTTGAAGACATGAAAGCCATCCTGAGACCACAGGATCTAATCCTTTACAGAGATAAGCCACAGGGCACTTCCAGGGTCAAGGACTGCATTAGGACTCCCTTAGCAATCCCTCTGACCTCATGGATGAATAGATAAAAAGGCTTAGTAGCATTGGATAGTGCCAGACCCGGAGCTGATACCAAAGCTCTTTTCAGATTCTGGAAGTCTTCTTCTTCTTTTATTCCCTTCCCCAGTCTAGGGATTGATTTCCTCCCATGGCAGGATGGAGGGGGCCACACTATCTCAGCAAACCCAGATATCCTTAAGTAACAGTATTCAGCTGCACCTAGGAATTTTTATACCTGTTTCTTGGTTGTTGGTGTGGGTATCTAGAGGATGGCCCTTTTCCTGGCCTAGGACAAGGCTCTTCTTCCTTCTGAGATTTCATACCCCAGGGACAATACTTTAGAGGCTCAGTGTTGTGCCTTCTTGGTTGATATGCAGTAGCTTAACTCCTGTAGTAACTGAAGAAGCTCTCACATCCCCTGCAGGCATTCTGAATAGCTATTAGCAGCTAATAACAAATCATCCACATATTGAAGCAGGGTGAGGTTAGGGTGGTTGGATCAAAAACTCACCAAGACCTTCTGGAGGGCCTCACCAAACAGGGTGGATGCATTTTTGAATCCTTGAGGCAGCCACGTCCAGGTGAGCTGGCAGGAGTCACTGGAAACTGGGTCAGTCCACTCAAAAGGGAAGATAGGCTGGCTGGCTGGGGCAAGGGGCACACTGAAAAAAAGCATCCTTTAAATCTAGCACAGTATACATTTGGTGCTCAGGAGACAGCAAACTCAGGAGGGCATATAGGTTGGGGACAGTAGGATGCAGAGTTACCACTCACTGGTTAACTTCTCTCAAGTTCTGAACTGGCCTGTAATCTGATGTCCCCAGTTTCTGTATTGGTAGGAATGGGGTGTTCCATGAAGACTTGCAGGGAGCTAATATCCCAAAGTCCATCAACCTCTTAATGTGAGGGGCTATCCCCTGTCTGGCCTTTTGAGAGATGGGGTATTGTCGAACTCTCACAGGCATGGCTGTGGACAATAGCTCCACTGTCACTGGGGCGTGGTAGGCAGCCAAGTCTGGCAGGTTAGTTTCTGCCCACACCTTCAGGAACTCTGCCTGAAGTCTGTCCAATAAGCCCCCAGGGTTTATTTCTTCTGGGTTGTCTTCCCCTGAGAGGAGATACTTCTCAGACAGGGCAGTGGTCAATGACAGTTGGTATGAAGGGCGTGACATCTGAGCCTCAGCCAGAATACAGGAAATGGTGGCCTTTAGCTTATAAAGGAGCTCTTGCCCCAGCAAGGGGAAGGGGCAATCTGGTATTACCAGAAAAGAGTAACTTGTTTCAATTCCAGGCTCACCAGTCACTCACTGGAGACCGAGCAGTTTTGGACTGCTCCTGTGGACCCCTGGACAGGAACGGTTTGTGATGAAAGCTTTCCCAGGGAATTTTTTAATACTGACCTCTCAGCACCAGTGTCCACCAGGGAATAGACTTGCTGGCCCCCTACTTCAACATTTCCCATGGGCTCCTGGGGAGCAAGAGAGAAGGAGCCCTGGCCTCCTCAGTCTGAATCTTCTTTTCCCCTGGATGTGAGGAGAGATAGTACATTGGCAGAGGGCCTGTGGGGGCCTTCATTTTCCCAGTGTCCTTCCTCCTTCCAGAAGGCACACTGAGTTCTGCCCAATGACGGGTGTCCTCCTGGCCTTCTGCACATTTGCCTTTTGGGCTTCCCTGGGGATGGGTCCCATGGGGTCCCCTCTGATGGCTGCTGCCAAGATCTTTGCTTGTTTCTTTGCCCACCACTCAGCCATGGCTGTGGCCAATTTTTGTCTTTCTGAGTCCCTATTATCAAATACCTTTTGAGCTACTTCTAACAGCTGAGATGTGTTCATTCCTGAGAATCCCTCCAATTTTTGTAATTTTCTCCTAATATCAGGTGCAGACTGAGAAACATAAGCCAAATTTATAGCTCTACTGCTCTCTGGAGCAGAGGGGTCAAATGGGGTATAAATCTAGAAGGCCTCTCTGAGTCTCTCCAGGAATGCACTGGGCAATTCCTCTGGTCCCTGTATCATTTCAGTGGTTTTTGACAGATTTATGGGTTTCTGAGCTGTTGCTTGAATCATTTAAAAAGTTTGGGTGAAAGGTGTGTAAAGTCTGCCTCCCCCCTGAGGAATTTGGATCCCATTCAGGTAGCTCTGAGGGGAATCCTTGCTTCAGCAATTTATGGGTCTCCTCTTCTGAGCATCCCCCCACAAGAGCTTTCTAGCTTCAAACCTAATCCTGTCCTGTTCCTCAGCAGTGAACAGGGTCAATAACAATTGCTGACAGTCATCCCATGTTGGTAGACAAGTCCTATAGATTGACTCTATCAGGGAAATCAAAACCTGGGGCTTCTCAGAGAATGGTGGATTCTGGGTTTTCCAGTTTAAAGGTCAGAAATGGATAAAGGAACAAATACCAGAAACAGGTGGGTTCCTGGCCCTGCTCCATCAGGAGGAGGGGCCTCCCTCAAAGGCAAGAGAATCTCTGGACTGTGTCTTTCATAGGTGGTGACCTCCTGTCAGGATCGGAGATACTCTCATATGGGAGGACAGGTAGCAGGGGAAGTACAGGAGGAAACAAGGGAGTCGGGAGCAGACTGGTCAGGATGACAGATGGACAGGAGAGGGGTCAACAGGGTTATACAGAGGTGGATGGGGAAGGACTTCCTCAGCATCTGACTGCTGCAGAACTGGTTTCTGCCTCTCCGGAGTTCGAAGTTTGGCCTACAAGGGGGAGAGCAGCTTTTGGAAACAAGCAGCTTTGAATAGGATTTTGCAGCACAGGCTCTTAGCCAAGGAGGAAGGTGCTGCACTAGAGTAAACCAGTAATCAGTGTAAAGACTGATTGGAGTGTCCTGGTGACTCAGCAACAATCCTTCAAACTGCCTGAACCAAGGCAGGGTCCAGGGAGCCCTAAGAGGGCCAGCCCACACCAAAAGAGGGCCACTCAAGCTCACAAAAATGTGCAGAGTTTTTCCCTTGACAATTTCACTCCATAATCATCAGAAAATCCTGAGGAAAAATTTCTAAGCATGCAGACCAGGGGTATAACAGGTTGTGAAGATGACAACCCCATGATAGAGAGACTTAAGGCAGGCAGGAGATTCCCAAGAATAAGAGCTGCAAGAACAAATAAAAAGAAAAGATGTCTGAGAAAAGCCTTAAGGGTTTCTGTGGTGCACCCTTGAATGATGTCATCACAGACAAAGGGAGGGGGTGTTCCTCTGTGGGAGGAACTACTCAGTCAGTTGACTGGCTGAGGGCCCCTCAGCCACTTTAAGGACCATCCAGGCTTTAGGATGTATTTATCTCATCGCAAGAGCACTCACTTGGCCTTTCTTGGATGTGTCCACGGAACTACAATATGACCCCAAACACATCCCATAACTCCGAGGGGGGACTCCCCCCCTTTGTTGTGGGACATGGACAGAACAGCCTACTGTTTTGCACTGCCTGTTGCCAGTCATTCATTCATTCATACAGCAATCATTCAGAGGTTAAAGACATTCCAACCCTCTCCCCAGGGATTTACCAGATTGGCTGGCTTAGAGCCAGACCAGACCAGGGGGCCACCTCCATCAGCATCATGACCTTATGGAGGGGCCCAGGGAAAGCCTTCATCAAGGACTACTCTTCCTCACCAGAACGAGAGGATACTTACCAGACCAGATGGGCTTCAGAAAATTTGGAGGTCATCTCAGGCGTCTCTGCAATCCCTTAAGTGTCAGCAGTGAGACTAAGAGGCCCAGGAACATCTCAGGGGGTGCCTCCCCTATAGTTTGCTGCTGCAGATGGGAGAGATCACAGTGAGGCCAGTTCACCAGGTGTGGCCATCTCACGGGGACCTCTAGCTGCTGTAGACCAGTGAGTTTGGACAATAGAGATGTGCCACACTCTATGCCAGATTCATGCCCATTTATTATAGCCAGCGGCTAAGGGGGGCTAGTGCCCAGAAAGGTTCCTCGGCAATGTGAAGCAGTTTGATTTCTCCTTTTATATCATGCTTTCAGCTGGGGAGAGCTCAGGGGAGAGCAAGCAGAATCTTACAGAAGCAGAATCATGGCAGGTTAGTGAGGGATACAAGGAAGTTTGCAAGTTTACTGACAAGCAGGATGTGGGGGGTTTGGGTGCTTTGTTCATATGCAAGCACTTTTTTCAAGGACAGGTACAAAATGGCATTGAGGCACAAGATGGCGTCTGGTTGACTATCACCCCAACACTACTACTAGCTATGAAAGTCTTCAACTCTCAAAGGCTCAGTTCACATCTCTTCATGTGAGCCTGTCCTTATTCTCCCTCATCTTTTCTCAAGACAGCTTATTCTATTTGCTTTGTTTGACAATGTGGTCTTTTACATCTTTCAATTTTCCTCTCAATTTTTTTCTTCAAAACTTTATTTTTATTTCCTCTTCAGGCTGAGGATATATCTCAAAGGCAAAGCATTTGCCATACATGCACAAGGCCTTGCACTCAATCCCTAGCACCACAAAAAAAAAAAGCAAAGCAAAACAAAACACTGTTTCTCCTCTTATTTTCACCTTCTCAATAAATGACTCTTTTTTTCAGGTGAAAAATGTAAGAGAGCATTCTTGATTCTCCAGAGAGTCTCAAGTCAGCATTATTAGGGCTCTCCCTGATAGCACAGCTTAAAGGCCTTTGGTTTAAATTAGGTTGGATTAATCCCTAGGCTGTGTCATGGGGGTAACATGGATGCTTTGTCATTTGGGGCATTTTTTAGCCCTGAGGATCAGACACTGTGGTGACCAAGTTATTGATGGCAGACTGGTACACAGAGAGTGCTGGGCCCCCAGCCTGAGGCTGGTGAGTGGAAGTCATCCTCCACCACAGGCCTGCCTTTACTTAAGGTCCAGACTCCTCCTCACCCATGCTGTTTTCTCTGTACAAATTCCCTCTACATATTTTGGCTTCTGGTTGCATACAGCCTCAGCTTTCACTTTCTGCCTTCATCTAATCACTCATAGTGTAGACCCTCTGGTCTTTCAGAAACCAGCTAGTAAGGGAAAAGCAATTAATAAAAACTAACTTGGTTGTGGTTAGGCCATGCTATTTTTTACATCAACTGTCTGATCAACTCCCATTCACTCCACTGATGAGGGAGAAATTCCCTTACCTTAAATAGTATGAGATGGCCAAACACACGACCCACCACTGGTAAACCACCCTCCACTGGAAACTGGCAGCAGCAGTTTATCAGGCATTTACATTCACTGTTGAGGGTAGCTGGACAATGTGTGCCATGCAGGCCCTGCCTGGGGCTCTACTCCAGAGCTTAGTGAACAAGCAAGGGCCATAGAGGACAGGTTTTGCAATAGCAAGGGGACACAATGATTCCTGGCTAGATGAAAGGGTAACTGACTTGTTCGAAGAATTTCACAGACACTTAGGGAAGGGACACATGTTCAGTAGAAGACATGGGAACATGTAGCTGGTCCAACTAGTGCAGGGACTAGCCAGCTGGGTGAGGAGCCTCCACTGGCAGATGGACATAGTATCTGAAAATAGATAAAGAACTCATACTTCAACCTTTAGGCCCTAGGAAGCTCCGAGAGATCAAGGCCACATTTGCATCTTTAAATGGGTGATGCTCCATCACTCAAATCTATCCTGAATACTGTGCACTTCTCACCTCCTTCATTTTTACCACCTGACACTGGCCATCACCTTATCTATCTGTTGTACTCCAATAGCTTCCTCTGCAGTCCCCCTGCTTCCATTCTCCTTTCCACTCCCCATCACTGCCACAGCAATAGTTTATCCAGCATCTGCAATAAACACCTGCATTTCCTACTCAAAATGCATCAGTATAAAGTTGGGCCACCTGCCATATCCACAGATTTTGCATCTGGGATCCAACCAACCATGGATGGAAATATTCAGAAAACAAGAAAATGTGTTACTATTAAACAATTTTCTTTTTTCTTGTCATTATTCCCTAAATAATAGTGTAACAACTCTTTACATTGTATGTAGAATTATGACTACTATTGAGACAATTTAAACTCTTTAAGAGGATGTGTATACATAAATGCAAACACTATGCCATTTTAGATAAGGGATTTGAGCAACTTCAGATTTTGGTATCTGTAGGAGGTCCTAGAACTGACTGCTGCAAACACAAGAGGATAGCTGTATTTCCATCACACTTAAAGTACAATGAAAACCCTCAGCATAGCCCACAGGGTAATTGCTGGACCCCACTTCCTTTCTTTTCCATTTTCTGACTGTTCTGCTCATTTTTCACTCTGCAACAACCACAGTGGCTTTTTTCCCCTCCATCCAGTAGGTCAAGTTTATGCTAATCTACAGTTCCCTACAGTTGCTACTCTCTCTATCTGAAATCACCCTCTCCATTTGCAAAACAACTGCTTTTTATGACTCAAGCCTCAGCTTCAATGTCACTGATCATCCTTAGCCATTCTTAGCATGTTTTATTTTCTTCATATAATGTATGCCTACTGGATGATAAATTATCTCCTCCCTCTATTTTTTCACTAAATCATCAGCTAGAACTGTGCTAAGCACACAGTAGGTACCCAATGAATGTTTATTAAATGAATAAAGAACAAATGTATAAAAATGAACAAGTAGACTTGTCTTTAGTCCTGTAAGTGTTATTAGCATTACAGGCTGACCTTTCCCTAATTATGAAAATGTACTGGAGTCATATTTTGAATAAATTTCTTGTGATTATGCCTTATAATTCTCTGAGAAGTGGTAGCCTTCCTAATGATAAGCATCTCATCTTTATTCTTATTTCTTGCCAGTATCTGTAAAAGCAAACAATAGGTGCTTAATAATTAAGAAAAGTACTATGTGCCAGTCCCCAGTCTCACCATCTTATACAAATTAACTCACTTAATATTCACCACAGTTTTTGAAAGAGATACCAATGGACATTATTGGCATCCTCATTTTATAAATGAAGAAACTGAGGTATAGAGAGGATGGTATATTTTCTCAAGTTTGCCTCAGAGACATTAAAAATGTGGTGTGTGTGTGTGACAGAGAGAGAGAGAGAGAAAGAGAGAGAGAGAAAGAGAGAGAGAGAGAGAGAGAGAGAGAGAGAGAGAGATCAAGGAATTGGCTTAATGAGATTATGGAGTTGGCCTAGATGTTATAGATTGGACTCAAAATGTTCCCCAAAAGGCTTATGTGTTCATTGATATGGGGTTTTTGGAAGGTGACTGAATGATGAGGTCTCTCATTTCATCAGTGGGTTATCCATTAGTGGATAGAATTTGATGGTATTAGTGAGAGGCAATGAAACCTAGAAAGGTGAGACCTAGTTAAAGGGAATGGGTCATGGGATTCATGGTGACTAGTTCCTCTCTGGTTCTCTCATCTTCCCTGGCTCTCTCATCCTCTCTGCTTCCTGTCTGCCATAAGATGCTTTCCTCCACACCCTTCCACCATGATGTTTCTGTCTTGTCACAGGCCTAGAAGCAATGAAGCCAGCTTACCATGAACTGAAATCTCTGAAACCATTAGGCAAAGTAAACCTTTCCTCCTTTCATGTTGCTTTTCTCAGGTATTTTGTCACATCAATGCAACACTGACTAATATACTGGGCAAGTTTGCAATTTGTAGGGCAGACTAGCAGTAGTCTAGAAACCCTCAGGGAGCTGCAGTTCACAAGAAAAAAATTCTTCTTCGGGGAAACCTCAGGTTTGCTCTTTCAGCCTTCCAATTGGTTAGATGGGGCTCACCCAGATAATTGAGGATAATCTCCTTTATTTAAAGTCAACTACATTTAACTACAGATTTTAACCAAATCCACCAAATGCCTTTACAACATTTACGTGAGTGTTTAATTCAATAATGTGGCCTAGGCAACTTGACACATAAATCTATCACAATAAATAACCCAGCCAGGATCTAAACCGAGCCTTCTGACTGCAAACATAAATCCCTAAGCATTGCGATGGTGCCTTGAAACCAACATTTGCTGAATGTGTAAAAATGAAAGAATACCTCCAATCTGAAACCAGTTGACAGTTGTTTCTCCTGAAATAACAGCCTGTTCTCCCTCTCACCTGTCCCCAGCCTTGTTGAATACCTCAATTTGTAACTTGTTTCGGGATTCATTGAGCAGAGTAGTTTAAAATATATTTGAAAAGAGATTTGATGTGTGAAGCTCACTCATTTTCTAGCCAGAGGTCTCTGTATGTTTGGGATTTGTAGTGGAAAACCCACAAATGGAATTTCAGCACATCTGAATTCAAATATCCTGGTTGCCTGACAATAGGATTGGCAGTCTAACAGCTTCCAACCTGACACTGTCTTGCTTTCCTGAAGAGAGTGACTAAAAGTAATTTACACATTACGAGGGTTGAGAGTGCCTTTTCTTTATCTGCTATGGAGAGCACAGTAACCAATACCACTACTAAGATCCAAAGTTTCCTTAAAGCCTCCTTATACTGACTCAAAAGCTGAATTCTGAACATCAGTCTTGTCATCACTCCTCTTCTCCCCTTCTCAAAGGCTGCCATGTTGCTTTCTGGCACCTCCAAACCATGCCTATTCCTCGAGATTGCCCAGGATTCATGACACAAGATAAGTCTCAGTTAAATCTTTGAGGACACGAGATTTTTTGAACTCATTTTTTTGCCAGTACTCCTTTGTTCCCTTCTCAGCCAATCAACTGTTAGCAGCTTCTGTAGCATGAGTTTTAGAATAAGGAAGTCCAAAACTAAAGCATATCTGAGAACTAATACCTGAAATGAATACACTGTGTCATCACTGTCTGGGCCTGTT